ATGAGCATATTTTGAAACATTATTTGTGACATTGGGAGGACACAAATGGGTGTAGGGTCCAAGGGGCGGAGCCCACAGAAGCTCAGGGGTTTTTATACATTGAATTACGGTCAGATGAGCATATTTTAATAATTTATTTGTGACACTGGCAGGTCACTAATTGGCATGGGGTCCACGGGGCAAAGCCCCAGAAGCTCATTGGTTTTAGGCATTTAATAACAGTCAGACAAGCATGAAGGGGCCCGTCTTAGAGCCCGCTGCCCCCCCCCCTGGATCCGCGCCTGGGGGGGGGGGGAGGGTGGGGGGGGGGGGGGGTTAGTGAGCAACATTTGTTTCTTTCTTTTTTGCCCCTAAATTTGAAAATCGCGCCGACCGATAATTCGCTCAGTGGTGGGGGGGGGGGGGTGGGGGAAGTGAGCAACAATTTGTGTGAAAATCGCGCCGACCAATATTTCGTTCGGGGGGGGGGGGTAAATATTACTACTACTTTGACTACTTCTAGTTCTCCTGCTGCTACTGTACTGCTACTGCTCCTCCTCCGACAACTATTATTTTTTCTACTACTACTTTTACTACTAATACTACTACTATTAATACTACTACTACTATTGTCATGCTGACTATTTGACATTATTCGAATCGTTTATTGGTCTTATTGAAGCATTTTCATAACTAGTAACGCATAAATGGACAGTTCAGATCCTGTGACCAAATAAGAAGAAAATACGAGCATGAAAAGAGAAATTGAAAAATTAGATCTGGACAACATTTTTAAGGGGACTAAGAAGGTTTACGATCTGAAAATGTAAAAGAAAAGGAACCCTGCGTGTTTAGGCCTACCCTCACATTAAAAAAAAAGAATGAAAACAGAAGATCTTTCAAACTGCTTCAATAAAGGTGCTTGGCCATGTCAATCAAATTCCTCAGTTGACCATGGACGGTATCAGACAATTGCCTCTCAATTATGGAGTGTTTTTTAAAGATGATTGACCTACAACTCATCTCTCTCTCTCTCTCTGTTAACCAAGGCCTGGGGTCCAGAGAGCTATGGTAATAAAATCGTCTATTTCGTTATGTTCGCTATTTTTTATCAAAAGATCAATGATCATGCTTGTGAAAACGTTTTTTAACCAACCAGGTAACATATGTCCATAAGGTTTTATTCAATTTACACGTTACCAAGGCATGTATCATATCTTTATCTAAATGCCTACAAACCCTGAGCTGCCAGCTAAGGGGGGCCCCTGGATGCTCATCTGACCGTTATTAAATGCCTAAAGCTCCTGTGCTTCATGGGGCTACGCCCCTTGACCACCCTGGGGCTTTGCCCCTGGATCCCACGCCAAGTTACGCTCCACTTGCTTCGCTCGCTTTGCTCTACCTGATCGAAAATACTTCCCCCCCCCCCAAATTTGAAAAACGGGCCGCGGGGCCTGCACGTTCCATGTAAGAGTGGGGATGATATAGATCTTTTTCTGCCCCCCCCCCCCTCCACCGCCCTTGATGTGTATACATAACTTTCTCGCACGTTCGTCTTCATGTCCTTTCCTCTCTCTTCTATTTACCTCCATCCCCCCTTTATCCATGTTGTACAGATCAGCTTTATTACACACAAAAAAAAAATTATGCCGATAAAATGGCATGTTATAATGGTTATGCACTTTTGGGCATCAAAGTTATCATTCAAAGGCGTCAAAATCAAAACAAAAAAGGGGAAAGGAAACTTATTTTTTCCCTTTATTACTTTCTTTCTTTCTTTCTTTCCTTCTTTTTTTCTAGTTTGTTCTTTTCTTCCTTTGTCTTTTTCTACTTTCTTTAAAGAATTTTTCGGGGGAACAATCCCTCAAGTCACCTTCACGATAAATAGGAGAGTGCTTGTATAAATCTAAACTTGCCATTTTTTCTTGACCCCACAGTACCTTGAACGTTTGATTGATCTCAAGAGCTGCATATGGAATCGCTTTACGGGAATGAATCCTAATCGGCGCCAACGACGAGCTTCTGAAGTGGAGTTGATCTGACCAAATTATATACCCGTTCTTTCCTCCAAAAAAGTACATCGATTATAGTGCTGATTATAGTGCAAATCGTTTAACACAGTTTTTGTATATGTAATCATTAAAACTTACTTTATATCACTTAATAGTCAGAAAATAGATGCTTAATGACCACTAAAACATAAATTAGCTTCAAATCAAGATCGCAACTGCTTTCGAAAAATCAACCCAAAGGCGGTTTCAATACCCTGTTGTATGTCCCTTAGAAATCACGTTCGGGTTACGTAATACGTCATAGGCATGTTCACACAATTCAATCGGTGACGCACAAACTTGTTTGAAAGTAGCTTGTAAAAGTACTTCTTGCACAAATGAAGACAGATTTTTTTTCCCGAATATCACTTCGGACCAGCCATCCCCGAATGACAATAATCTATATTTTTTTTTAATTCGGCATCATTAGAAGGAAAGATAAACAGGCTTTTATTCATATATTAACAATTAAAATGTTGATGATTTTGAAAAGATATACCTGTATCATCTAAGAACATGAGTTTCTTAGCTTGTTTGTGTGTGTGTGTGTGTGTGTGTGTGCGTGTGTGTATGTGTGTGTGCGCGTGCGCTGGTGTGTGCGTGTGAATGCGGTGTGAGAATTATGATGAAAAAGAATTGTATTTTGTAGAATTATTTTTATTGTTTTGATATTGCATGAAATTAAAAAAAGGAATTACGAAAGAACAAAAGTATATATCATATAATATGTATATGCATCTACCTAATTTCTAATTATACTGATATTTTTCTTTTTTCTTTCAATAGCATTTATTCATAGACTAAAGATTTCATTCCACATTCATATCAAAAATATCAAACAAAATCAGATAATGCATGAGGAAGTCTAAACAAAGGTTTCCCAGTACATTTTCTAAAACTCTTAGTCTCTTTCATAGTTTAGAAGCAAATAAAAAAAAACTTAAACTGGATTCTTTATAATCAACGCCTTTATAATTTCGTAAAAAATCGATTTATAAACTGTCCAGAAAGCTATGGTAATAAAATCGTCTATTTCGTTATTTTCGCTATTTGTTATCAAAAGATCAATGATCATGCTTGTGAAAATGTTTTTTAACCAACCAGGTAACATATGTCCATAAGGTTTTATTCAATTTACACGTTACCAAGGCATGTATCATATCTTTATCTACCTGTCAATCATTGCATTTTGCATCTTCACTCATTCTCCATTTACATATTCAATATACAGTTTTCAATATAAAAAAAAAATTGTTCTATAAAAAAAATGTTGTCATAGTGGAGTAATCCGTTTGAATGATATTTTGACAGTAAATGGAGGATTTTAAAAGTGTGGAAGAAATAATAGCTTTATTGAATTTAGAAAAAGCAAAAGATCTACAATTTTGTATTATTATAACGCCAAAATATCGCCAAGTCATACGTAATTTTTTTATCACGGCTAACTATTCCCAACTACGGCTGGAATGCTCCCCAGGAAGTGGAGATTGTACACACAGTGTGTGCGGGAAAGCACTGAATTCAATGACCGGGGTAATAGTATATTTGTAAAGCGCTTAGAGACATTTGTATTAAGCGCTATATAAAAATTAAATATTATTATTATTATTATTAACTATTCCCAATTTAAAAGAAGGTAAAAGTAGCAAAAGATTTTAACAGTTCGTTCGTTCGTGTCTCCTTAGATCAAGATAGTTGTGTAAAGTTCCTTAACTTAGATTAAATTAAATTAAATCAAGTTCTTCCATCGCTCAATTGCTGCAATGGCCGTTTCATTAACAAGGGCCAGGTCTTCATCTGTGAATTTAGAAATAGCAAAAGATCTACAATATTTAATTATTGAAAACAACGCCAAGCCGTACCTATAATTTGGCTCACCCAAATATCCAATGATAAAAAGCAAGTTGTATCACGGTTAACTACTCCCTAAAATTTAAAAGTAGGTAAACCTATACAGGGCTTAAGTAATATAACTTCAAAATATCTGTATAACCATCTGATACCGTAGGAAGGGGTAAATAGACGATGTTGTTTCTTCCGGGAAAATATTGTAAGGATGAATATAAAGTGGAAAACATGTTTTGAAAGGAATTTATTACAAGACTAATACATGGAAAACAAATTGAGAAAATGTAATTTTAAAGTGTTGTATAACTTATTGCCTGTGAAAAGTATAATAATGATCGTTATATCGTTTCCATTTTCGAAGAAAATTCCGGATTTTAAATGTAAAACCAGTCGCATGCAAAATAGTCCTACTCCAAATTTGATTCGCCCGTATAATAACAGCTAATTTGCTCATGTTTATATCTATTGTAATGATTTATCATTGTAATGTCTGAAATCCTGTACATGCTTTTAATGATATCGTATCGATATGTATTAATGATATTGAACTGCTATTTACTTTTAAATTTGAATAATTATTTCAAATACTACTAAATGTTCATACCACTGCTCTTGCCGCTATCTTTGATTAATTTACCACTATACCCATGCCACATCTACAAAGAACTGTTGTATAATTTGTCTTAGTCCATTTGTTTTTGGTTAAAATTATGTTCATTAACTGTTTTTTAACTTTTTATCGTATTAAGGCAGTAGTAACATGACACGTTTATATAATTTGTAACTAAATGTTCTGTAATTTGTTTACAATGTATATATCCAATTTGTGAAATTCATGTGCAATTCAGTTGTGAAAATGCCATTTAGGAAAGATGCAATAAAATATAATTTATTTATCTATTATAGTAATTGTAGCGACACTAATTTTGAAATTTAAATAGACGTTTGCATCGTCAGATATTGAACAACGTTTAGAAGGTCGAGGAAGGCGTGTTTCAACGTGTCAGCCGTCGTGATTGGTTAGTATAGAAAAGAACTGGGCGTGGCTATGAAGTTGGCCTTGTCAACTATTGGCCAATGTTTAGAGGATTGAGGAAGTCGGGTTTCATCGTGTCAGCCTTGTGATTAGTCATTATAGAAAGGAACTGGGCGTGGTTATGAACTTGGCTCCTGCATCAAGGCAATTTGTTAGCACCAGTATGAGGCTTACGAAAGAATAAATAGTGTTGTTTCTGGCGATTGGGCCATAATAAATGTATGACTTCACTCGATGCTGACATCACTTTTTGGCAGAATCCTCCACAGTTTTAGCAAACTGCACGGTAAGATCACTTCTAAACAAGGAAAATCTCTTCAGTGGTAATTTCTAGATTTGTAGATATTTTTTTCTCTCGATGATACTTTTAATAGATTTAACATGACTTACTTTTTTTAATATCTTAGGAGATTTTAACCTTGGCAACAGTTTTTATACGAATTAAATGTATTAACCATTTGTTTTAATATTAATTTTCATTCACCCTTTCTTTGTAGGTTTGTATTTTTAAATATATTCTTTGACGCTTGTAAACGAAATATTTATGCTAATACATCGCTCTTTTATATTTTATTCCCTTTTATGTCTTTTATTTGCTTTTATTCTGATGCTCACTCTTTCTTTGTAGGTTTGTATTTTTAAATATATTCTTTGACGCTTGTAAATGAAATATTAAGGCTAATACATCGCTCTTTTATATTTTATTCCCTTTTATGTCTTTTATTTGCTTTTATTCTGATGCAAAATGGCAATCGTTACTCAATAGCAAGTTCTTTACTAATTGTTCGTCAGATACCCATACGAACTGAATTAAGAGCCATGATGTTTGGCGGGGTTAAAAATGCTGCCATCCTGCTGTTGATGGTGACGACGATCGCTGTAGACCGATGTTCGGCAGTAGTGCAACCGACGCCCAGCGGTCTCACCTTCATCGGCATCGGCTACAACATCCTCGAGGGTAACCCAGAAGGGGGCGAACTTGGCAGTGGAGGGGTAGACCCGGGCCTCTTGGTCAGTAGACGGATCTTCGAATTGAGTTACGACGAATCGAAAGTGTCGAGCGACGGTATGTATCGAGTTCCGGATGAGGTGTACTTTGTCTCCCGAGACAGTGCCTTTACTTCGTCGTCACGTACCACTTTTCATGGTACTGAAAGTTACGCATCCAAGCTTTCTGCACAAGTTGATGTAGCTGGTAAGTAGATATTTATCCGATCACTTCATTCTAAAAGATTACATTAAATTTATGACGTGCTTGAGATAGTAAATTTATATAATTATATATACATATATATATAGAGAGAGAGAGAGAGAGAGAGAAAGAGAGAGAGAGAGAGGGGGAGAGGAAGAAATGTGGAGGTGTCTTGGTCGAGTGGATATGTCACCGGACTGTGGATCACAAGGTCGTCGGTTCGAGTCCCGCCGCGGCACTAATGTCCTTTGGCAAGACATTAGGTCCTATTAATGAAGATAACGTAGTGCAATCTTTTGTCATTTACATCGTTATTATTCATAAACATATCGTGACCCGTATTTAATATGTATCTCTAAATATAAATGTATATGTATACCCCAACAAATATGTGATTATATTTATCTAATGTATACAGGTGGGTGCAAATATATGTCCATTCAAACCTTCATTTGTATATAGTGCTGACGAAGATCATCTAGAGCAAAAGCTCGGCTAGTAAAGGAGACAGCAAAAGCCACAAATAATTCATGTTGTGCCAATTCCAATATGTAATTTCCATAATACACTGTCGCTCATATAGCTGGAATATTTTTGTTTTACATATATACTTAGTATATACTTAGTATACATTCACAGATTTTATTGAATAATAATTTGCCAATGTGTGTTTTGCGTGACTGCTAAAGCATGTGTATGCTACTATGCTTATCAACTAGGGGACCTACGCCCTTAAGTCATAAATGACAGTAATGAGGATTAATGCCCCACAAAAGGGCACCAATATAGCACATCGACACGGTTTTGATCACGGGGCCTCACAGTTACGAGGCCATTGCTTTGTCACTAAACCATGACTGCATGCAGTGGGGGCTAGGGTAGGGGGCAGTTTCCATAAATTAAAAAACCAAAGAACATGCAATAAATTTTCAATAATTTATTTCATTTTACCCCGGTCCCCAACATACACAAAAAATCATCTGTGTGCCCATGCCTTGAGCCATAATGCATGGCCGTCAGTAACAGTACAGTAAAAGGAATATAATGAGTAACATTTCACACAAAAATTTAGCAGTTTTTTTCATCAAACTTCAACAATGTAACCGAGTCATTTTAAACTGATTTGAATATTTGAGATATAACATGTCTTTGAGATTATGTCGCCAATATTGAGGCCTATTCGCAAAATATATTTACTCTCTTATCTCTCCCCAATCGTTTGTCTCTTCAGGGTCATACAGTGGCACTTTCGCGAGCGCTGAATTTGCAGCCAGTGCACGTAAGTATTTCGTTTTCTGGGGAACATACGTATTTTTTCCTTTGGACGTGGCTTGATGGCATTTGGCAAATTAGCACCTACTCAACTGATACACACAGAAAATAAACATATTCCTAAAAATCAAGTAGTGCAATGGATAGTTTGCACAGTAAGTGCAGTGTACTAGTTGAATCCAACGAGCAGCGGTGTGAAGATACGCTAAAGCAAGGGTTGAGGGCATTTAATTGTTTTTTCTTAATCATTTGTCTTATTCGCTATTTGAAAAACGTCATTGTAACAATCTCATCATCATCATCATCATCATTATCATCATCGTCATCATCATCATCTTTTACTCAATGGCTTTTAGTGCTTTTTGAGGAGACGTATTAAGAAAAATCACTTTATAACTATTTTAACGTCGTTTAAAATCGTCATCTTGCTAAATTTTCCTGCAGGCTATGAAACCATCTCCAATCGGATGGCTAGTCAAGGGTCTGTCTTCTTCGCTACTCAAACGATACAGAACCTCGGTAACGCGCGTTACCTGACAGAACTTGCTCAGCCTAATAGCTATGCACTCAATAATGGCTTCGTTTCTGACGCTTGCAGTCTCCCAAACTCATACAATGAAGCTGACTACATGCAATTTCTCGAATCCTGGGGAACGGTAAAATATATGCAAATGCCTATTATAATTAGGAACTCCACATTAATAAGCCTACCGAGTTTAAAGGTTCTCCAATGTTGAACAGTAACAAATTTCGGTCCACAGTAAGCCGACTTTAGAGTTTATAGCTCCCCCTTCTCGCATTTACTTGTTTTGTATCATCAAAATGTGTGTTTCTTAATCCTAAATGATATTTTGTATAAGTTTTATTGGCCTCTGATTCAAATGTCATGGACGATAAATTTCCGTGGGTCTTGTCACCTCGTCTACCAACAGATCACCGTCCCTGGGTTCTAATAGGCCTACACTCTTAGGCCACATATAAAATCGCGGTGGTTAGTCGCGTTATCGGAACGAGCCTTAAACATGCTAAAGTGAGGCTGATTGTGTGTTATGTGATTTCTCTCTACAGCATGTCGTGACTGAGGTGGATCTTGGAACCAGAGTAGGTACCAACTATGAGGAGAGCAGGTCGTCCTTTGTCGAATACGCATCGACACAGGTAAGGTTTTCATTACTTTTCAATACAAGATTTACTATTTATTTATTGATATCATATATTGAAGTGTATCAATCACCAAAAGACGTTTTGCTCGCGATGTAAATGGTTCCATGTCGCTATACTATTTTCCAAATGTAAATTAAAAATATTGCTTATACAAAGACATGTTGCAGTTTTAAATACACTCGAAGTAAATAGGGAAACGTCTTGTTGAGTAGACTAGTTAACGCATGCGTACGCATTTGCATAGAATTGGGCCTGGGCCCGCACAAACCAAAGTCCGAAGTGGGTTCCAAAATCAAAATGAAAGAAAGAGGACAGTTTGTGTGACAATACTAAAAATCGAGCACCTAGTGATGTGGCGCTAAACAAATAACAAATAAGACACAATAATACAATTTAAAAGATGATAACAGTAAAACTCTCTGTCGTTTTCCGAATCGCATTTTCATTTTAACGGTGATATAGTATTTGATAATAATTGTTAAGTCAGGAATGTTGATAAGATGAGAGAAAAATAAGAGGAAACAAATGATTGGGGTAAAAGAGGCGAAAAGAGAAGCATAAGCATAAAGTTTGTGTGATAGATTTATTCACGATGATGTAGTGGGCAAAGGAGAAAGCAGGAAATATATTAAAGTACTTTATTTTGATAAAAATGACAGGGAAAGAAACGAATGGAGAAACCCTTAAAGAAATATCTTAAGCTAAGGTTTTATAGAAGGGATTTGGGACTTTAACAAAAAATAATTTAAATTATTTTAAGGGATGTGCACGTGAAAAGTAAATGCAAATAACCCCCCCCCCCCCCCCCACCCTCCAAAAAAAAAGAAAAAAAGAAAAAAAAAAGAGGTTCTTCTAGAACCGCGCCTGTTTGAATCTGATCAATATTCATATAGGTAAGTGCCAGCCTAAGTGCTGCAGGATCCTATGGTGGATTCAGTGCTTCACTTGCAGTCGACATGGACAGCTTCGAAAGTGGAATGGAGAGCGGGTCAAGTTTCGGCAGCACTTACTCAAGCTACACGGTTGGCAGCGACGACCTGAACGGTGAGTCACAGCTTCATACCGACCTGAGGTGCATAGTTTAATAGGTTCGCTAAGGTATTTCGCAAGGTGACAAAAAGATTAGCCCTCTAAATTCAGATTGTCCTACAATTTTTTGGGGTAGCAAAATTACACATCCTCTTCTTTATATTATCTAGGTACATCAGTACAAAAGTTTACTCTGTGTTAAAGTTTGAGGAGACCAAAATGAGAACAGTAGCCAAGGTCGAGAAGAATTTAACTCTACTACAACAACTTCAAGATCGGACATCATAGGTCTACAATATACTGCCACTGTACCACTGTCTTCCGGATTGGCGTTCCCATATTATTTAATTACATTGAAGAAAAAATTTTCGTTTCCTGGAAATACCAGAGGTAAAACAAAAACTATTTGACAATCTGGACCAAATACACCTTTATTGAGTGCTAACTGAAAATCAAACCATGTGACTGTTTGGTAGTTTTGTGGTGGCAGTTAACATATTGCTCCGTTTAGTCTCATTTCACAACGCCCCCTATCGTCAGAGTCAGCAGCCTAACATGTTAGCTTGAGATATGGTGTTGGACGTGGAAGTTAAACGTTTCCCCTACCAAATCTGCAGTATTAGTCTTTACCAACAAACAAAAGAAAGATATTCTTCTACAAATAAAAGGACATAATCTGCCTATATGCGAGCAGTATAAGTTCCTTGGTGTGAGGTTTGACTCCAATTTAACTTGGTCTGTCCATACAGATTCTATCATTGATAAATGTAAGAAAAGAATAAACTTGCTACGTTGTGTCTCCGGCACCCCCTGGGGAAGTAGGTATGAGATTTTGATGATGATTTATAAAGGACTTATCCTATCCATTTTGGACTATGGGAGTGAAATGTATGATTCTGCTTGTATATCTTTAACAAAAAAACTTGACTCTATCCAATACAGAGCCTTAAAAATTATTACAGGCACAATACACAATGTGTCCTTGGAGGCTTTACAAGTTTTGACCGGGGAGCTGCCTCTGAGATATCGTAGAAGGTTGTTAAATGATAACTTTCGAGTTTATTTACTGTCTAGTACTTTAAACCACCCAACAAAAGAAGTATTGGGTGATGACTATGATTTAAATAACTTAGAATGGAAGATAGGAGAAGGACCTTTTAAACTGCGATCCTTTAGAGACGAAGTAGTGGTGGAAGGGCAAACCAACTTATTGCCGAAAATCCCAGAATGGCGGTTAGCACGACCACAAGTGTCTTTCGAAAACCATGGCAAAGTGCAAAAAAAGGAAATGCCTCCATTTGAAATAAAATCGATTGTTCTAGATAGCATTTGAAATTCATGGAATGGGTTTTTACATATATATACAGATGGTTCTAAACTCGAGGATGGGAAGACAGGAGCCGCATTTTATGTGTCTCATTATAATGTGGTGAAATTTTTTAGATTATCCCATGTCTGTATTATGAGAGCAGAACTAGTGGCCATACTAATGGCACAAGAGTGGATTTTATTGAATCCTCTTCGGTGGTAATTTTTAGCGACGCTTTGTCAGCTTTACAAATGATCGATTCATACTTTATTAGATGTGCTATTGTAAATGAAATTTTATCCATAATTAATATTTTGCAGTTTAAGGATGTTTGTGTTGCTTTTGAATGGATTCCGTCACATTGCGATATTAGGGGCAATGAGATTGTAGATCGGGCTGCCAAAAAAGGAGCCATGAAAAGGTGTATAGACATAGTTATACCAAATACAAGAAGTGAATTGGCAGCCTCTCGTTTGATCCATTATAACAAATTATGGCAAGCAGAATGGGACAATGCAGAACACGGTAGATTTTTATATGCTTTGCATAGCGACGTTTCAAAGCCCATACATAGACAAGGCCTATCTCGCAGAGAAGAATGCTTGATACAACAACTAAGAGTAGGTAACTGTAGTTTAAATTATTACCTTTTTCAAATTAACCAACACGATACTGGTCTTTGTGAAGTTTGTCAAGAAGATGAAACAATTAAACATTTTATTTTCTATTGTACAAAATACGACAAAGATAGACGTCTCTTAAAAGAAAGGATTAAATTGAACAACCCTAATCTGAAACAATTATTGATGTCTAACCCAATTTTTACTCGTGAATTATTGGGTTACATATACGATACTAATCGTTTTAGATAGCTTTTAAAGCTATCAGGGACCCCCTTAACTTATGTCGATCCTGTAATAATATATAAAATGAAGTATTTGCGGTTTTTCCATGAACAATTGCAACTAACTCCCATCTCGCCTTTTATGTGCATTTTATGCAATTTTAATATTGCACCTTTTTTTTTTTTTTTTTTTTTTTTTTTTTTTATAAAACCATATCACTATTAATTTCATTTCACCAAGGAAAGTCGCTCGTGGGCTTGATTTCCGAAGCCCACGCCAAAGCTATACACGAAATTGACTGGCGCAAATAATCTTTGAGATTGAAGAGCGCCATCTAAACGAAGAACCAACCAACATGTTAGCCTATTGATGTTTTCTTTTTTAAATCGTTAAAAATTCTTTTTTTGTTTAAACGAAAAGCACATCCACCCCGACGTACGTTATCACTAGCTCTTTCATTGGAGCCCTCATGTCTTATTGACTTTTGAAAGTTCACCCACCGTAATTTTTCAAAATAGGTTGCAAGCTCGCCATTGCCTATAATACACATGTGAAACAAGTCGAACTTTGGACTCAGTCTGCCAAGCGATTGTAAGATTATAGGTCAAGCACACGAAGGATAAGAAGCATGAATTATCAATTATCATTTCTGCTATGTTCATTCTGTCCATTTCATCCAACCCCCACCGTAATTTTTCCATTCAGTAAAAGCAAACATTTAGCCGAGGTAAGCAAAAACATGAATATTCATGACACACCATGAACTATTCGGTTATTAACAGAGGGGTGCAATCGGTCATCACGTCAAACTACCCCAATTGCCACCAAGTATTTCATATCATTATATAGTTTGGTATGTTTTTTTTTACTCACTCATGAATTATTAAATATCAATGATGGTTTAAAGAAATGTAAAAGAAATTTTAGTTGATATTTATTAACAAAGTAATTTATATTTAGCAAAGCAATCTCACATACAAAATTACTATCAAGTGTCGTCTGCTACGCCGATTGTCGCCTGCTTCGTTTAAGGCACATATTTATCGTTTGGACTGTAAGGTATACCAGGGAGATTTGTATTTTCCTGCGGTACAACGTATAGCAGGAAAATGTTGTATATGCGGATCCTTTTAATGATTACGTAATGGAAGTGGCGAGACGCCACGATTCCGTATGGTTTGAATAACTTAGGCAGGTGAAAGTTATTGTATTGAGAAGGAAAGGAATGTTCACGCCCGACGGCGCGGTGGCCTGTACTTATAGCGAAGAAGAAGAAGAATGTATAATTCGCGCCATTGCGCGCGAACACATCACTCCCAATGGCATACACCCGGTACCCTGCAACACAGTGGAACATTCTAAGAAATTAAAAATTTATCTACAAAAAAGACCTCTTGAATCATCTGAGACGTAACTAACCCTATTCTGATGACTTCAATGAATTTCAAGGTAACAATGGCTGCGTTTCCATCCAAAAATAAAACCAGTTTGCAATTAGAAATAGTCCATTTTTCGATAATTTCACAAAATATATTGGCCGCCGCATTCAATATGACGTCATTGACAGCTGATTGGCTAGTTTGGTAGTGACGTCGAACGAGGTATGTTTGTGCTGCAGTGATCCAGCGAGCGAAAATGAGACAATCAGAGCAATATGTTAAGGGACCATGTGAGACCTGTACATGGCGTCAACATATTTGTGATATAATGATCGGACTAGGGGTTGTACGATACCTTGCTCCAACTGCTCCGCATCAATTCCTACACTAACCGAACCCTAAACATAAGCCCTACACCCAACACTATACCTAACCCTGGCCCTAAGCCTTACCTAAAACCGAATCGCAACCCTTATCCTTACCCTATACCTTAGACGGAATACAGCCCAGAGCAATGGACGCAAGGCGAATGTGTCAACGAGACCAGGGCCCGTATTCAATAAACATATAAAACAGTATCCTTCCAACCTTATACCTTTTACGAAATACAGCTCGGGAGCAGTTGATGCAAGGACAAATGGAGTGTCGCCGAGACAAAGGCCGTAATTTAGGAAACCTTTTAGACATTTTTCTTCTAACCCTTTGACGAAATACAGCCAAGGGTAATAGACGCGACGGCAAATGTAACGTCGACTAGACCAGCACTAAGATTCAAAATACGAATAAGCCACTTTTCTCTAAACCCTATACCTTTGACGAAATACAGCACGGAGAAATAGACGCGAGGGCAAATGTAGTTTCACCGAGACCAGGCCCTAATTTTTTACATCTCTATTAAGACATATGATTTTAGTCTAAGAAAACATGTTTCAGAATTTGCCTTTTGCCTTTGCCGTATTCTTAACACGTTATAAGCACTTGGGCCTAGCTTAAGACGACAGGGAAGACAACAACCTTAGTCTAAAATGCTTTCATTTGACAGATCACTGCAATGTTGCTGCTGCGGCTGATGTTAAGATAATGACGATAATGTTAATGATTATGACGATGATGTTAATGATGATGACGATGATAACAAAGATGATATTAATGACGATAATGATGATAAGAAAGAAATAGTTATGTTGATAATGAAAACGATGCTGATGATGATGAAGAAATCTTAATGCTACCCCTCCCCCCCCCCAATCGGATTTTCTCCATAGAGCCCATCAAATTGGAGTTGCTTGGCATGCATGAGGTGTTCGATGAAGATTACTGGACCCTTCTCTCTACCTATCTCGCATCTGGCCACTGCATCAGCTCTTTCCAACGGTCCAGTGTGGCAAGCAACGTACTAAGGGCTATGCAGGGATATGCCAACTATAGGTCCATAGCACAAAGAACCGCTGGTACGTATAGTTTTCACGAATAATTGATATAGACCCGAACTACGGATCTGTTTTTAAGATCTAGCTCTGGGGATTAAACCCGAAGACTATGGTAAGGCTTGCAAATTCTTGTTTTTTCATCCATGACTTAGATAGTCTTTATATACCTTAAAGGAGTCAAATCTTATGAGCTTGATGCGATAATCAAGTACTGAAATTATTTTGTTCAAGTATTGTCATCTAATGATTTACGGTTATTAATGCATTAATAAACTCTCCAGTCCAGATTTAGATCCGCCTTAGAGTTGTAGGAAAAAATGCACGTTTGGCAAACAAAGAGGCAAAGAAAACAGCAAATGTGTTAACTAAGGAAGCTTTCAGGAGCATTAGTCTCTGTCTCTTTTGTAATCGATCCCAGACGGACAAGTCTTAATCCCTCTAACTTGGCCTGATGGCACCTACGGTCTCCAAAAACCTACCAGCGGGTGTCCCAACAGCGAGTTCACCTGGGTTGAAGGATACCGGTACCACGACACAGAAGACAGCAATAGCAACAACTACTGGAGTACTCCATTGAACCTGGCAGGTTCATTTGGTTCGAACAACATGGGGCACAACTTCTGCATAAAGACCACCAGTGTCGTTGACTCCAACTTGAAATGGAGCTGGCAACCAGGGAGTTACTGCATCTACAAGTACAACACTTGCCCAACAGGTATGTGCTGGCACAATACAATGTTAATCATGACGATAGGAAGAATAAAATTAATAACAGTGATAATAATGATGACGATAATAATAATAATAATAATAATAATACTAATCATCATCATCGTCATCATCATAAAACTATAAACATAAATACAATTTCGGTAGGATAAACCATATACAAAAAAGAAAAAGAAAATTAACTACATTTATTTTAGGCCAAATCGAACAGATAAGATAATATTTTATCTCTAAAGAAAAACCAAAATCATAACTACATCCTCCCCCAATCATGTGGGTCCTGTAATTTTGTTTGGACCCTACTACTTAAAGATAAACTCGAGTTCTGGTTTAAAAAAAAATGAATTCTCACAGAATCAAACGAAACTAACTTTGAATGTTCAAGATTACAAATAAATGTCATTTGCCAAACAATTTTGGTAGAAAATGTGTATTGGCTGAGTAATGAGCATAGAAAGATAAGGAAATCAATGTAAGTATATCCCCGACACCATTTGTGTAGTCCCATAATGCATCTTTCTGTGTACAGTGCCTGTTACTTTACCAAGACTGGGCCACATTTATTATGATTTTGATGACTTCAGAACCTTGCAGTACACACCAATACTTACATGCTACATGATCAACTTTTTCGGATCCATTCCACACCTTTTCTTTCACAATGCATTCGCATGACCAGAACTCAACTTTATCTTTAACATGAGAAGTAACACGTGAAAGTATCCTGGTAGAGTGTTTTATTAACATGACTCTCAGTCCAAGGGTCTACCGTTCGAATCCCAGCCTAGCATGAACATCTTTTAACAATAATAATTCACTTTTGACACTCTCCATCCACGTGTAAATGGGTAGCTGGCAACTCCTGGGGTAAAAACTATTGCAAGGTCCTCAAGATGAATCATTATGGCTATTTTTATCATTATCTTTATTTTTATTATCATTATTATTATTATTATTATTATTATTATTATTATTATCATTATTATCATTATTATTATTATCATTATTTTTATAACTATTACTATCACTAAGTTTATTATTATTACCATCATCATCACCTCTTTATTGCTGGCATTATTATCATTATCACCACCATTATATTTATTATTATCATTATTATCACTCATCATTAGCAGAACTCTTTTTGAAGATATTTTACATTTCGTTCTCTGCCTTGTTTGACATACCACAAACTGAGGAAAGTGGGTACTTATTACTGACACCGGGTATGGTAGGTCGACTTGGCTAACTTCGTCACATTGGGTCTTCGCGTCTCGGTCTTCGCGTCCCGATCTTAGCGTCGTTGCGAGTCGGGTGTAACGAAATTTCGTGAATATTCAAGCACTAATTCCCAAAGCAATGCAGGGTTATCCTTCTTTTGTTTTGGTCTGGTTCTTTCCTTATAGGTTTCACAGAAGGTAACATACGCTGGGACGATGAGGATGATAACAATCGAAACAGCGCCTCGGGAACGTTACCCTCCGGAGACTATGGAGGAAACACAAGACTCTACTTCTGTTGTCGAAGTGATGGCGTGACCGACCGAGGAATCTTCCTCCCAACCGAAGACAGCTTCATGCTTTTCCCTCGCTATTCGACCTGCCAAGCGGTAAGTTATTCTCAGCCGCATGACTCTTTATAGTTGATCGACACCCCAAACCATTGCAAGCAGATGGGAGATGGTTGTCTATATAGTCTGGGGCTTAATTCGTCTGTTTGATAATTTCAATAAGTGACAACTATTATATCATATTTAATAGCAGGATGATCTATTTACTTAATTCGGAAATTATGTACAAGGACGTAAACCTTTTTTCACTGAACGGGCACCTTTGCATAGATACGACTGTTTATATTTTCTCCCACAGAGCAGTACGTGCCTCATAAGCTTTTGCTAATTTTATATATGAGACCCATTGTTTCCATAACATATTGAACATTGGCGAAAACTAGGGGGGGGAGCAAAAACGAAGAACAAAAAGTATTATGTAGGGGTATTTTTCATTTGGCCGGCTTCCTTCGTCAATAATAGGGTCTTCCCGTCCGAGGTTTTGCGTTGGTTACACGAAATTCCGTACATAATCAAGGCTAAATTCTCGAGGACTCTGGGGGTAACGTTTGTGAAATACACCCCTCATCATCTGCCTCTTATTGTCAGTTTACCCGACACTTTCTGAAAAACCGAAAGCAAATCTACGCAAACACAGGTCTTAAATGCAAGATAAATTATCATAAGCATCACAAATGTTTTATTTTAAAGCAGTCACATCGTAGTACTTAATTTCTGTTACTACCATAAACCAGTAGACTGGTCAAAATTCTTTGATAGTTTTGGATAATACAGCGGGGATTCTTAAAAATTCAATTTCCATCGAATCTCCTATCTATGTTTGTTTGATGCATACGCCCACAGGTCAACGGAATGACAGTAACGAAGAGTTGGTTTCGTTGGGACAACGAAGATGACAACAACGGTGACAGCCAGACGGCCGTACATCCCTATGAAGGCCTGCAGGGAGGCGGTCACAACGTGATACTTAATTTCTGTTACTACGAACGGAGTTAAACTTGGCAAAGAACATCAGACGAATCAAGAATATAGGAGGAACAGTTTTAAAGCAACTTATTTAATCAGAATCATCAGCATTTTGGTTGGGTAAACGTAGATTTGTATTGCTTTCCTGCCTCTCCTATCGATTTCTCATTTTTTTTCTTCTTTACTAAATTGATTACAAATATAGAGTAATAGACTTTAAGAACTTTGGGATTTTTAAAGAAAAGCTTTTAATCAATTTAAATTTCATTTAATTAATGACATCATCTAATTCAGGTAAATCATTATAATAGGGGTTGTGTTTCGAGGTTTCATTTCTGGCGATTTGTTCATAGATATTTGCTTTAAGTAGTTTTTAAGATTTGCTCGTAGTTTTAACATGAAAGAGTAAGATCCTTTTTTTTAAAAATCATTTTTATTTATCAATGTGATGAAATTAATTTTATACGAAAAGATTTCATTAAAGTTATTGATTTCCATTTGTAGGCTAAAAAATTGGAAAGGTGAAATTCCAACGGCATTTGAAAGATAATACTATTTTAGAACTTCCCTCAAAACAAAATGGCGTGAAACTGTCTTTTTGTGGGAAAATAACGACCGTTAATTTTTAGCGAGCGCGCTCGTTGAATTAATTTGTCTGATTTTCAAATGTAAATCAGTTTAATGTTGACCATTACACGAAGTGGGTTATTGATGTAGAAAAAATGTTCATGAACCCATTACAGCTCATGTTATGAATGTTATTACAAAAGAAAAAAGAAGTCAGTCAGTCACTCAATAGTGTTTGACTGTGAAGTCTAAAAAGGTAAACGGGTTTCCTTGCACAATTTAAATACTAAGACACTGCTGACGTTTAAATTTCACAGATAGGACATAGGTGACATATTCATAATTCCTGCAAAGTTCTACAGAATTTAATATTGGCTGCAAAAGGGATACACAACCTTTAAGTTTCTACAATTTTGCATTCCAATTTGTATGTATTGTCTAATTTTCGGGATTTTATAATCCACATTTTGGCTATTCAGTAATTTTGAGATACCTGTTTAGTATAGACACTGGTAATAAAACAGGTAATTTGTGAGTTCTAGATGTTGAATATAATTTTCCTAGAATTTTTGACATTTTGTGTTTATGAGAAAGGAAACAGCTACATAAGCGTAGAATAAAGTGTGTTTTTCTGAACTATTAGCATTGTAAGCAATACGTTAACAAAAATTACAAATGTAAACCTAAACTTTTTTTTTAATGATGGTGACGGGAAAATAATTGCGAACTATTTAGCACTATTAAATGAATTGGTTACGGGAATATCTGCTATATCTGTTCTTCTTTGCAATGATCGTAGAGATTAGAAAACAGAAAGCAGAGAGGAGGGGGAAAAGTCAAGAGACTGAGAATACAGGAAAAGAGGCCTCAGAAAGAGAAAGAGAGAGAGAGAGGTGCATTGGCCAACGAGGGAAGAGCGAGAATGGAGCGTGTGGTGTATGTGTGTGTGTGCGTGTGTGTGGTGTGTGAATGTGTGTGTGTAAACTCGTGATGGCGTATGTGAAAAAGTGACTAAGTGTGAGAGGGGGGGGGTGAGGGAAAGAGTGAAAGAGTAAAATAGGGAAATGGAAAAGAGCGACCAATATCACATTCACACAATCTCCAATCGTATTATGAACAAGACTTCTTTTTGCGAGCTATATATTACAATTACTACTACTATACTCAGTAGCGAACGCAGGATTTTTTCAAGGGAGGGGGGAGGGGGGTTACATTTTTAAATCGGGCCGAAAATTTCGCAAGGACTCAGCCAGCCGCTGAATAAGCGGGGGGGGGGGGGGGGAGGGGGAGGGGGGGGGGGTAAGAGGACACTTTTTTGGGGGGGGGGTCCAGAAATTTGAAAAATTGACATTTTGCTCCGTCGGGGGTCAGCCTTTGGCATATTTTTTTTTTAAATCACAAAGGGTGGAGGGGGGTTTTGCTCAAAAATACACACATAAAAAAACTGAAGGGGGGGTTTAAACCCCCCCCCCCCCCTGTGTACGCGTCTGCTGCTACTTCTGCATGTTGTTTTTTTGCTATCATGAGTTTATATTCATATTATTGTTATCAAACAGGAATAAATAAATTAATACATTTGTACAATGATGATGGAAGAAGCGATTTATCGCAACTGATCTATTCTTATTTTTCCCCTTTTCTGTTCTTCTTCCTCTATATTTTCTTTCCTTTTCTCTCCTCTTTTCCTTTCCCTTCCCTTCCTTCTCTCTCTCTCTCTCTCTCTCTACTTTACCGAGGGGGGAGGCAAGGGCCTTCCGCCCCCCGATCCAGACCTATTTGGCGGGGAAAATCGCAACTGATCTCCCACACCTTTCTTCTTCCTCTCTCGTATCATTTCCCTTTCTCTCCTCTTCCCTTTCTTCTCCGTTTTTTAAAGTTTGCTGGGGGGGGGGGGGCCTTTCTTGTTATCGCAAGTGATATCCCCTTCTTTTCTTTTTCTCCTCTTTTCCTTCCTTTCCTTCCTTCTCTCTTTTTTTTTGCTGGGGGGGGGGGGAGGCAACAGCCTTGGAAGCAAGGCCCTCTGCCCCCCCTCCCCTGATCTCCCTTCCCCCTTTTCTTTTCTGCTTCCTCTCCTTTCTTTCCCTTTCTCTCCTCTTTACCCCACTGGAAATAAGCTTTAGAGATTTCGTGGGTTATCCTGTTCAAGCTGACTTAATGTTGATCTGTTATTATTGTATATTGTTGTATGTTGGAAGCTTGTCGAATAAAAATCAATCAATCTTTCCCTTTTCATTATTTTCCTCTCTCTCTCTCTCTCTCTCTCTCTCTCTCTCTCTCTTTTGGCGGGGGGGGGGGGGGGCTGGAACATAGCAAACACTTCAGCATTAGTTATGAATGCCCTTCATGACCGGAGCATGACACTCCACAGAGGCCGATTTAAGGCTGGACATTGGCAAATCTCGCCTTCATTTGACCGGACTATAGTGATGAAACCACCAAACAAGTGCGATTCTGGTGGAATATAGATTTTTATAGGGACACAAGCGACATGATTAAACCATGGATCTAACCATGATTAAACACATACTTACCGACCGAAAAATATCAGTAACAAGGACCCAATGAAGGTTTTACAAGTCTATATATATTTCCTTTACACACTTTGTGTATTAAAGCCCTCTAAGATTCGTTTTGTATGCTTTATACGTTTAGAAGCATGTAGTAGCTTGAACTTTTAACCCTTGTTTGTCAAGGTAAATGTTTACTAAAGTTCTGTATAAGTCTAAAGGCAGTTTGCAGTTAAATTGTTGTGATAATAATAAGTTTTTGATATTTTTGATGAAAATGTTTTTTTAAAGAAGTTCAACGTTTTTGTCCATGAATAAAATCATATGAATTAACAAGGTGAAATGTATATACTGGTGTTTTTTTTAATGTTATCTCGCAAGTTTGGAAATACTTGTTCATAATTTTGTTCATGCTCCTATTATTTGTTCATATATGATTGTGGAAAGATCTCTTTAATGGATTAGGTTTGTTAGCCACTTGAGGTCTATGTTGATGCTTCATGAAGTACATTATGGCGTATTTAAACCAGGGAGGTGACAGAAAGGAGGTGACACTCTTGTAATTTATTCAAACGCATTCGTGAGTTTTAAAGCGTAACAATGGGATGTGTAACATTCCACTTGGCTTTGAAGTTCCATGCTCCGAACCGCGATTCCACGGCGGGGACTTTCGGAAGCCAGGCACCAGTTTTAGATTTTTAACAAAATATTAAATTACCGGCAAAATTTCAATGTAAATCAAAAACTTTATATGGGGATTTTATTGGGAATAGTGCATCAAACAAATTTTCAAATTTAGAACTCCGTCCTTCATATAATTTGTGTGCCAGAGTTGGTAAAAGAAAAATTACATTCTGGCAAAAACTCAATATTTTATATAATTTGTGCATGCTTTAATGTCCCGTTATTTGATCCATGATTTACAATCTTCAATAATATTAAGTTTGCTAATGCGCGTTTTTTGCTTGTTTTTTGTATTTTTCAAGTTTAAAAAAGGATGAAATTACATAAGTTTTTGTTCGCTTGTTCTACTCTTTACACATTCAAAAATGGATGAGAAATTATTGGAAGGGACAGCGAACAGTTGCTGTGATACCATTTTCTCATGTAAGATTTCTAAATCCTGAAATTTCATGCGCTCTTTTATCTCACCACCTGGTCAACAGTTGCAGATTAGCGCATAACTTTTCGGCGGCTTGGAGCATGGGGTCAAAGGAGAGCGGCTTGATTCCAGTCCTTCTCTAACACGTCCCTGTTTAAACATAGACGTACTTTAAATGCCTAGGGTGCACCCGTTTGCCTTCTCATTTATAATCACGGTGTTAAGATGTTAGATTTGCATCTATAGATTTTGTTCGTATATTGATAAACAACAGTGCTCATACTGTGATGATGATTTATTGTTTGACTAAAGTCATTATATTGCTTGTGTCCAATGGATATCCCTTTTTATAAATTGGAACAACTTTCTCTATTTTCATTTTATCTTGAAAAATACCATCAACAGTTGATTTACACATGACACATTCTAGGGGAATAACAATCTCATTTATGATTTGGTTCAATCAATTATTACTTATGTCAACATATTCCGTACCCTTTTTTAATTTTAAAAGATATTTACAATCTCTATTATTTCATTACTGATATATTGGAAAGAGTGTATTTGGATTTTCATTCTTTAAAAAAGTCGCAAAGGATCTATCAATTTGTGGTATTTCGTTAAATTGTTAAATACACTCTTAACTCTATTTTTTTTAGACATATAACTTTCCTTTACTCATGTATATCAATAGATTTTTGGTTTTAAACAAACCGGTATAATATTACGTTTGCAACATACACTTTTATTCAATTTACTCTCAGATTGCCTAAAACTGTAAACATATTTCAATCCGTTGTTTCATTAGTTCATTACTGTTCATTTATTTCAATACGAATTTATGCCCTTGCCAATTATTTGACTTTGGTCTTTTTCTCCAATTTAATGTGCAATATCTTATTCGAAATCACACTACATTGTTATTTAAATACTCATTCTAACTTTATTGAACAACTTTCTCGATCTAGATGAATGCTGTCATTACATTTATATTACAGGGGAAAACGGAAAATAGACTGTCATTTTGATTTTTACGGTTTAATTTCATCTCATCCAATACGGTTTTTTATGCTTAATTTCAATTTTTGTAAGAGAAATGTTTGTATAGCAATTGTTAAATACTTTCTCAACTCTTTCGCTCAAACAACCTCCATATTTTCTTCTCCATTCTCTCCTTCCCACTGCCTTGGTCTTTTGACATGAAAGTATATTATTACATTAAACTTATAACTTTGTTTTGCAATTTCGATTTCATCTTACCAATGCTAAATAATTTCTGCAAAGGTTGACTTACAATATGTATTTTAGTTTTGTAT